TCAATGGTTTCATGTCTCAAAGGTTCTATAAGAATCACTAAACACATACAAATCACAGAGAAGTGTAAAAGTTGCCCTAAATGCACCCTCTTGAAGTAAAGCTTGCATCCTCTTGATGCAAAGCTATCAGCACTATAAAACTGAAAATAAAGGTAAAAATGCAGCCTTTTCTCCAGAAAGTCCTAAATTTTTGTTCAAATAAACCTGGTTGAAAGGAAATATACCCCTTTCAGAAACACACCCTTTTCCAACACTCATTCCCCAGCTTCTCGCCCTTTATAAAGTATACATCTTTTTTTCAAGTATTTTTTTCCCCACTGATTTTTAGAGAGTAGAAGACAGAAGGAAAAACAGGGAGAAATATCAATGTAAGAGATACACATCGATTGGCTGCCTCCTGCATGAGCCCAGACCAGGGCCAAGGCCGGGGAGGGGCCTACAACTGAGGTACATGCCCTTGATTGGAATTGAACCCGGGTCCCTTTGGTCCACAGGCCAATGCTCTAGTCACTTAGCCAAACCGGCTAAGGCTAAAGTATTTAAAAAAAAAAATTTTTTTTTTTGATTTCAGAGAGGGAGGGAGAGGGAGAGAGAGAGAGAAACAGCAACGATGAGAATCATGGATCGCTGCCTCCTGTATGCCCCACACTGGGGATCAAGCCCACAGCTGGAGCACGTGCCCTTGACTGGAATCGAATCCAGGAATCTTCAGTCAGCAGGTCGATGCACTATCCAAACCAGCTAGGGCTAAACAATATTTTTTAATTATTTCAGAGAGGAAGAAAGAGGGAGAGAAAAACATCAATGATGAGAATCATGGATTAGCTACCTCCTACACACACCCCCTACTGGGGACTGAGCCCACAACCTGGGGATGTGCCCCAACCTGGAATCGAACCGTGACCTCCTGGTTCATAAGTCCATGCTCAACCAGTGAGCCACACTGGCCAGGCAAAGTAGACATCTTAAATGAATAGGAAACATACTCTTCAGTAAGTCAGAGGAAGAATCCTTAGTAAGTTTCTCCAACGTCTCCCATCTCAAACAATTCACTTCTCAACCTGACAACCCTTCCATGTTGATACCCGTACGATCAGTCACGCATCTCTCTCTCAGGGAACAAGCAAAAGACAGAATGCGGGAATATGAGTCCGTTTACCACTGTTAAAACCTCAGGATATTGTGCTGTGAATATTTTCGTATTTTATTGTTTTTGTTGCTGCTTGTAATTATTGTTAAATTTTCATTTACATTTCATGTCCTTTTTGTTTTTAAAGTGTTTATTTAAAGATTAAACAATACAATAGACATGTAAGAAAAGTTAAAACAGGGAATCATTTGGGGGTCTGGAACGGATTAATTCAATTTACGTTATTTCTCATGGGAAAAAATAATTCAGTTTTCGAACAGCCTTCCGGAATGAATTAAGTTTGAGAAAAGAGGTTCCACTGGATTTAAACTGTTTCACTGCCATGGGCAGAAACCTATCCTATCAACTCCAGGTTCACCCACACCCAGAACTGTGCCCGCCACATAGGAAACACCATTAAACAACGGGAAATTAAATTGAAAACATAAAGCCATTTATTTACAAACTACATAGGAAACCTCTGGCAAAAAGGCTCAAACCACCATCTGTCATATGCTCATAATGAGCTTGAGCCTGGATTATTTGCCATCTTGATCGAGCAGTTGCCAAGGGTTGATGCCAGCTCAAGGGCCCTTGGAGATGGAGCAGCGTGCCTAAGGCACACAAAGGCAAGCAAAGGGGTGACCCAGCCTCCAATATAATGCCAAGTGAGACCCACCCAGACTTCAATTCCTTGGGGGGAGGGGGGGGGAGGCAAGAAACACTGAGGGAACACACTTTCTGAGTGTCATGACAGCCACCTCAAAATGTCGATATCCCAAGGTTAACCTTACATGGATGCACAGGATCGGGATGTCTCTGTGCAGCCTAACTCTCCACTGCACTGTCCCCAGCAGAGAAGCAGGAACTAAGAGGGAAGCCCACCGCGGTACCTAATGGCCTGCTGGAGTGTGTCAGCGCGGACCTCCCGCCGCTAGGCACCATGCATTCTGGCACGAACACCTCTATTCTTCAAGCCTCCACAATTAGAAGACTGAAACCTTCAGGGTGAGGACTGAACATCTATTTAAAACTTTCTTTTTTTTAACTGAGGTGAAGTTCACATAATATAAAGTTAACCTTTTTACAGGATACAATTTCAGTGCTACTTAGTGCATTAGCAATGTTGTGCGTGTTACACCAACACTACCCAGGTCCAAAACCATCACCACAAAAGAAACTCCACACCCATTGAGCAGGCAGCCCCACGCCCCACTCCCCCTCGCCCCAGCACCTGGCAAAACCACCAATTTGCTTTCTGTCTCTATGGACTTACCTATTCTGGACATTTCATACAAATGAAATCATACAGTATGTGGCCTTTGTCTCTGGCTTCTTTTACTTAGCTTAATACTTTCAAGGTCCATGCATGTTGTAGCATGTGTCAGTGTTTCATTTCTTTAAGTGGCTGAGTACCATTCCACCTGTTGATGGACATTTGGATTGTTTCCACCTTTTGGGTATGAATAGTGCTTTGAACATTTATGTACAAGTGTTTGTTCAAGTACTGTTTTCAATTCTTTTGGGTAAATATCTAGGAATGGAATTGCTGGGTGATATTGTAATATTCTCTCTCTCTCTCTCTCTCTCTATATATATATATATATGTATACATATATATTTTTAAATTGATTTCAGAGAGGAAGAGGGAGAGAAACATCAATGATGAGAGAGAATCATCAATTGGCTGCCTCCTGCTCACCCCACATTAGGAATTGAACCTGCAACCCAGGCATGTACCCTGACTGGGAATTGAACCATGGCCTCCTGGTTCATAGGCTGATGCTCAACCACTGAGCTGCGCTGGCTGGGCGGTATTTACTAACTAAGGAACTGCCAAACTACTTAAATGAGTATATTTGTTGTACGGAAATTATACCTTTAATAAAGGCGAGTAATGGAAAAAAAACCAAAAAGCTTTCTGCCATGGCCAGTGTGGTGTGGTATGGTGGTTGGAGCATCGTCCCAGGCTCCAAAAGGTCACTGGTCTGATTCCCAGTCAGGGCACATACCCAGGTTTCGGGTTTAATCCCCAGTCAGGGTGTGTGAGGAAGGCACCTGATTGATGTTTCTCTCTCTCCCCCCTTCCTCCCCTCCCTTCCTCCCTCTCCCTTCCTTCCCCCTACTCTCTCATATCAATAAAAGCGTATTAAAAAACAACAACAAACTTTCCAAAATGTTTCCAGTTTTTGGAATTGGATACCAACACTTTGTGAACCACTGTTCCTACGCATGAGTGACCCAGCAGTGAGCTCTGTTACATTCCCCTCAGACTTCATTCTTAGGACACTACTCCCACACCAAAAACAAACAAACAAACAAAATCTCTCCCAAATTATATTGAAGACGTGTAACTATTTTCTTTTTCCGCTTTGCCCTCTTCCACCTGCCCCTGCCCCCAAGATCTGTGATCCCTCATAGCGCTCCATTATCACCCATTCCACAGAAGAGGAAACTGAGTCACATTGGGTCACATGACTGTCCAGAGTCATAAGCTATCAAGTGTGTGAACTAGGACTTAACTGTCAGCCTCTCTTCAGAGTCCATGATCTTACCTAAGATATTCTATTGCCTTTCTTTTCTGAACTTAAGACCTTCTTTTGAATAACTGGAAAAGTTCAACAAGAGACTTCATCAAAAAAGAACTTTTTCGCAAAGAACTCTAAACACGGTATTTCCAACATAACTGCCAAATCAGCCCAGCTGGTGTGGCTCAATGGTTGGGCACTGACCCACGCACCAAAAGGTCACAGCTACGACTCCCAGTCAGGGCGCATGCGCCTGGCATACAGTAGCTACTCTGCAGTAACTACTTGTTAAATGAGTAAATAATGAAAAAAGTACAAACCAGCTTGGCCATTCCTCACATACTAAAGAAGAGTTCAAAGCCAACCAAATCCCCTGCCATCATATGCCTTCCCTGTCATGCAGCCCATCTCATCAAATGAGAATCACCTTAGGAAATAATTGTTCCACACATAGAGTGCCCTCGAATCCAAGGAAACCAAGAAAAGGTGGTCCAAATGGTACCAGACCAGGACATTTATTACAGTGTCCATTAAATTAAAATACTATTTCCCTATCTGTAATCAGTTTAAGATATCTGCAACAGCTGCTAGATGGGCTGTTATACCTGCTGTTAACATTGCTCTCTTCCAAGCCAGGGCACTGCTACTGCCCACTCTTCTGGTAAGGACTGTCCTGTTTCTCATTCTCTAATTGGTTCATTTTCTATTGATAATTAAATATACCCACAGCACAGGCTGTGAGCAACTGTAAGATGACCAAACTATGCAATCCAGAAAATGAAAATTTAAACATGAGCCCTGGCCAGTGGCGCAGTGGTTAGAGCATCAGCCCGTGCACCAAAGGTTGCGGGGTGTGCCAGGGTTGCAGGTTTGATCCCTGCCCTAATGTGTCTCTCACACTGATGTTTCTCTCTCTCCCCCCCGACTCCACTCTCCCTGAAAAGCAATGGGAAAAACATCCTCCTGTGAGGATTAATCAAAAGAAACTTAGACACGAAAAACAGAAGGATGAGAGGAATGGTCCACAAGTAGAGAAGCGTGTGTGTAATGTGGTGAGTCCATCTCCTTGAAGATTAAGAAAGAGGTTAGGAAATGTATCTTCATCTAAGGAAGAAATATTTCTTAGAGAAAAAGGAAGTTAGAGGACTACCTCAGGGAGAGGTAGAAACACAAGACCAAAGAGAAAAGTTGTGGGATAAGATAACGATCTCAAGACTGTGGAGAAGAAAATCAGTAGTGATACACCCACATTTTCCTAGAATCCACATTAACACACAATCTATTATAACAATCTCTATTCCATGGGGACAGGAGAAGGAAAGAAGAGGCTTCTATTTACATACCTTACAAATGTGCTGCAAGACCCACGCGCGGCCTGTGGCAGAAGTTCTACAAAGTGCCTTGAACTTCTCGGATGAAAGGCACTATAAAAACATTTAAAAAATCAGGAATTATGTCTATTCATTTCACAAGAAAAAATACATAGCACAATATGTAAATGGGCTTGCCCAAAGTTCCACGAAGTAATTTAGATTTCAAGAGAGGAAAAAAGTGCAAAATTTAATTTTTAATTGACACACCATAAAAATGTATCATATTTATACAAGTCTTGGCATCTTTCACTTAGCATAATGCACACAAACAACCTTATTTTCTGGACATTATAAATGAATGTTGCCCTTTTAAAAGCAAATATCAAAAACAGATAAATCCTATGTAAATTAATTTTCCAACTTTTTTATTATAAAAATTTTCAAACACACAGCAAAGTTAAAAGAATTTAACAGTGAACACCTGCATCCCTACCACCTAGACTACCAGAAACACTTTAATGACTTGCTTTATCAACTATATTTCCTTTTTCATACAGGCATTACAGAGAAACCACAGGCCAAAGGCAACTGTCAGAAAAGTCAATGGCTTAAAAAAAAAAAATAGGTCAAGGAAATAAATAATAACAGGAAATCTTTGATATTTTTGTCAGAAATTATTAGTATTAGCTTATTAAAGTCAGATCTACCTTTACCCTCAATGAACAATTCTAGCCACTTATTTGTTTAGTATTAGATCATAACATACCCCAGCTAAAAGAAAAAAAATCTAATTTCTCACCTCAGAACAAACCTGAAGAACTCCCCACGTTCTAAAAGCCGCACATGATCTGGTCCCTGCCATCTTTCTACTTTCATTTGATCTCTCACTTTTCTCTTTACTCCAAACCTATTTCACCAACTACTTATTTTCTCCTCTTTCCCTTCACTTGAATATTAAGATACTGTGATAAATATGCTTATTGAATATATTTAGTTTACCAGCCCTCTAAAATAATCAAGCTCCATTTGGTATAAACTGCAAAGTGGCTGCAATTTAACAGAGTGTATCTCTCATATTTTGATGATTATTAGCTATAAAATGTCAATGCCTACCTGATTTCAGTCACATGACTACCGTCATTATGAGCATGCAAGGCTGTCACTTATTACCACAGCCCACAGATTAAAAATAAATCACTTGAAATAGAAACACTTGAAATAAGAATTTTATGGTAATTAATAACTTTAAACTGTTTTGGAAATTTTAATTTATTAATCCCACGAGTACTTAACAGTGAGCATGTCCCCAAAATACTCCAGGGTATAGTAAGACACATCAATACAAGTTTAAAATGTAGTTACATTAACGTGTAGGAACAGGTGCTTAAAGGAATAAACTGAGTGGCAAGGGAAGACGAAATACTTAGGGACCTTTTAAAACTACAAGTATGTGCTTACAATCCCGCAATTATGTACCATTTATCATTATCACTAGTAGCCATAATGCAATGAAGCCCAAGGTGCTGTCTATAGAAGCCCAGATTGGTTCTCGCAAAAGCTGAAATACCACTCTCTTCTGACAGCGCTAACACACACCTCACAGCTTTAGGACAAATAAGACCCGAAGGAGCAACCACTTCCTCCTCCTGTCACTGCGTGGACTCCACCCCACAGACAGGAAACACCTGAAGATCTACCTGTTTTCACTCTCCTAACAGCTCACACCCCCACATGACCAGGGTAAACCTTTAAAAGAAGTTCACTGACAAAAAAGGAATCAGGACTATGAAAATACTCCAACAAAGCCACTACCACACACACAGGAACTATCTACATGATATATGTAGTTTCTGCCCATTCTACCTCAAAATCAATAATCAAACGAACACAAAGTTGCCCAATAACATCTTAGCCTGACCTACAAATTAAAATTATGTTGCATTTGGAGCAGGGAAGTCTGGGACTCCCTGTGGAAGAAGGTGGTCCCTCCACAGATCCAAAACCTAAAGCCAGGACTAGGCAGGGACCGGGCATATATATTGATTTATCTATTCCGATCAGCTGCTACAGGATCACCCGTTACAGGGAGGAGAGCACCTTAAAGAACTGAAATTTGTTTGGAAAACGAAATTTTCAGATTTTTCCAACATATGTAAAACCAGCAACATACAAACGGAGAAAACACCGGAATAAGCCGACTCTACACAAGCCGTTGGGGAGCGCACGGAGAACTCCCTCCAGGAAAACAGTTGTGGCCTGTACCTGGCTGGACATGACCGAAGACATTTACTTGGGTCTTTAAACTGAATTTCCTCATCTGCAAACGGGGCTGGGCTACGAATCCTGAAGATTCCTTTCCCGACCCAAATTCAGGATCTACAGAAAAGTTGCATTCCCACTCTCTTCTTCTTCCCACTGCAGGTTTTTATTCGAGTAGAAGCTGTAAATCTAGGATTAGAGTGTGACTCGAAGCAAGTCCCATGGTACACGCGGTATGTCCCCAAGAGCCACCAGTGCTCTGCCACAGGGGGTGCAACGACTCTCAAGACAACTCACCGAGAGAGACCCCGGGTCGCCCTCCGCACCGAGAGCGAGCCCCGGACGTTCGGTCCAAACAATGTCACTGTGTCAAACTCTCAGGACAACATCTCCACCAACTTAGCCGTGTCCAAGGGCCTCCCTGCAACTGCACAGACACCTTACACCAAGTGGCTGAAAATGTCTCACCCTGGACAACACTGAAGATTTTTTTTTTTTGAGTATTTTTCCCCCCATTCAGACCTGGCAGGGAAGAATACAACCTGATTACACACTTGCAAGTTACTTCAAAAGGCTGCCTTCAACACAAAGGAACCAAACCCGTCACCAGCAGGGGTTCCGGGTCTAAATCGGGCCCTGGCCGGGCACCTCAATGGTTAGCGTGCCCAGGCAGCCAAGGTTTGGGGTTCGATCCCCAGTCGGGGAGCACACCCCCAACAGTTAATGAGCAGATGGGTAAGTGGAACCAATCAATGTCTCTCTCTCTCCCCAAAAGTCAACAAACACGTAAAAAAAATAATTGTAATCAGGACCATTGAAAAAACACGAGTGGAACCAGCTGTGAGGTGAAAAGGGTGCGTTTCCCACCGTCACCCACTAACCAGGATTCTGACCAAATCAGTTCGCGTGCAAACAGCGCTCCTCCTGAAGGCGACCTGGAACGGGGTCCGGCCTGACACGGGGTCCAGCCGTGACGAGGGACGGATGCTCAGGGGACGCCTGGTCAGGGCAGCAACTTGGACCAAGCAAAGTTGCAAATCAATGCTATTTTGATGAGACATCGTTTAAATTGCTTAAACCATGAAAAATGGCTTTCCTGGGTAACTCCCCTCTTGGCAACACTGAAGAATCCTAACCCCCAAGACTTCAGTGCTATCTTTTACTTACACCACCTCTAAAAACGCTGCATTAAAAACAAAAAATCTACCCAAAATATAACTGGACTTCACCCCGTGTAAACCGGTGATTCATGTTTCACGTTCAATGTAAGAGACAAAATGGAGTTGTAAGAGTTTCTTTCCCGTTGCAACTCCCGCAGGCACACGCGCTGGGCAGCTCGGGGGCCCCCGCCC